ATTCATAACTCAATGCTTGCATGATTTTGAATTAAAAATTTTGGGGGGGGGTTAAATTTGTGTTTATTTGGAAGAAGTCAAATCACCTAAAGTTTCTTCTTTGTCCCTGAATAAAGAAATCTTAAATCTTGCCCTATGTCAATTCTATAATGTTAAGATAGAGTTGTAAAGTTTACCACTGAGTGTGTGAAATTGAAATGTACACTTCATATGACTGACTTAAGGGTCATACTAAATAATGAAGACAAATCATGCTTCTTGATCTAGTGGCTACTGACAGCTTTAGTTTCATTTTTTTGGTATATGCAAACAGAATGACTTGGAAATACTGCATTATAAGAAACTGCTAAATATTTTTTTTTTTTAGAAAGTTATGGATTTGCTTTGAAATCCTACTTGCAGAGTTCTGTAGTGAGTTAAAATTGATTATGAGAGGTGATACCCACATTGAACACCTTAAATGATGTGGTTCCTCAAAAGCATACTTTTTGCTGGTCATGGACTAGTTTTGACAATTGCTTCGTTTACCAGAGCTGTGTCCCTTCTCTTCTAGCAGTTGGTTTTTGAAAGTTTGTATTACTGTTAAAAGTAAGTTTTTACAAGATTACGTATTGTTTAAGGGACATACTTTCACATGCAATATACAGTGAGTAATAGTTTAAAATGTGTCTCTGCTATTGTTGATGAATCATTCTGAATTTTATTTCCCCATACTTGAATGGCTTAAGTTGATTTTTTGAAGGGGACTAGTGAATGGGTTTGACATGAAATGAAACCAGCTTTCAGCATTAAATCTTACTTTAAATAATAGTTCATCCTGTTTATCAAACAATCCCCTACTTTTTTCAAGTTTGTAAAATTTTTAATGACAAGAGTTGATTTTCTTTTTAATTTATGAACATTTATGGTTAAGGTTTGTAAAATGTCCAACTTTGCCATCTACCCCAAATCTGCTTGATTTCTAATTATAGGTAGTAGTTGAGGCAGCATGATACTGTGGAGAGGCGACTTGCCCTTGGGTGAGCAGAGGCTCCTGTCAAGCAGATCTAAAGTCTCAACAGGTTCTATCATTCCAGGGTAGTGTGACTGTAGGCATGATTTCTGTAAGCATCGGTTTCCTGATACTTAGGAGGTTGATAGTAGTTGCCATTGGGTTGTTGTGAAGATGGTGATGATATAAATTTCTTTCTCCTCTTTCCTTCCCCTTCTCTACTTCATTCATACTCCTCCTTTCTGTGTCTGCCTAAATATTTCAGAGAGCTCTTGTCCAAGCCCCAGTCCAGGTAAGGCTCTAGGCCCATACATTCTTTTTAGGTGAGCAGGACCTCCTGCTTTCTTTCACAATTGTTACTGCGTATAGCTATGTAGTGTGTGTGTGTGTGTGTGTGTGTGTGTGTATTTTTATTCATTTAATGCCGGTCTTTTCCTCTCCATTAGATTGTAAGGTCCATTTGGACAGCAGTACGTCTTTCTTGAGTACAGCTGTAACTCTAGTGCCTTGCACATAGCAGCTGTGGATATTTGTATGTGTACACGGAATGAGGAAACCTGTGTGCTGATGCGTGCCTCCTTACCACACCCTAGCTGTTTAATCTTGGGCGTAACAGCTTCTCTACATCTCAGTATCCTATGTACTAAATGTGGACAGCACCAGTTGCCCTACTTAGGATTTTGAGAATGTGAAATAAGATACTTTAATGAGTTTTTTTTTTTGTTGTTGTTAAAGTATAAAATGCCATATAAATATAAGATAGTACAGTTGTAATAATCTCAGTAATGGAGTGATCCAGTAGGAGTCTTTATTGTGACTTAAAGTAAGAATTTACAGTTGAGAGTTTTAGCTTCACCAAGTTGTTAAATTTACAAACTTAACAGTTTATAAGTTTTAACTTTATAGATGTATTAGTTAGAATGTAGATTGACTAAATACAGTGGCTTACAAAGAAATTTATTTTTCCTCATAAAACAACAGTATATGTAATCTAAGGCTGGTATGATGGCTCCCTGACAGGGGGAACCTTGGTTCCTTCTGTCTGTGGGTTTCCTGTGTTTAAGGAGTTACCTTTTTCTTAATACTACAGGGCAGCTCTCCACCACATCCATGGTCCAGAAACAGGATGAGGAACAGACATATCCCTTCCCTTTAAAGATAAATCTGGAAGTTGCATACATGACTTTTGTTTACATACTATTGGTCAGAATTAGTAATGTGACCATGTTTAGCTGCAAAGGAGGCTGGAACATGTGGTCTATGGTGGGGTGGCTAGTTGGCTGGAAATTTCCATCTACTGAAGAAGGACAGAATGAGGGAAAGTTAAACATTGCCTGTCACAACTTCCAAATGTTTTGGAAGAAACTTCTAGAAATTAAAAATAAGGCAATTTATTAACTAATTACTAAATTTTATTTTCTGTCTAGTCGTTAATCTTTTGAGCTATAGTATGCAAATTTAACTAGGCTATCAGTTATGCAGTGTATAATACCTATAGTCAGATTAGAAAAATTTATATTTTTTAGTAGTGAAGGGATTTGGGGCCTACTAGCATATTATTTTAGTGATACTTCATTTTCTAATAGAAACATACTTTTTGATTGCTGTGATTATATTGTAAAATTTGGAATCTGAGTTTTGGATTTAGTTTTACTAGTCCATTTGGCCATACTGTATGTGAATTCTTATTCATATCCATGGCAGATAATGCTGGAGTAATATTTGGATCTTGTCAGGATTTCAGTAAATGTTTTGAGTTACTGAATGTTGCAAGGATGATAGCAGTGATGTTTAAAAATACATTTACTCTATAGTATCTTCCCCTTTAGTTTCTGTGGGTTTGGAAAAAAAGAGGAAGATCTAGAATTCCTTTGAACTGTATTCTTAAATCTAGCAGGGACTTGGGAAGACCGATCATTATCAGTCTTCTGGAGAATTCGTCACAGTTGTGGGATTCCCAAGTTGAGATGTTTTTCTTTCTGTAAGTTTGGGGTGATGCTCTAGATTCTGTTTTCTGCCTAAGGATCCCAGGTAATCCTAATGCAGCAGAAACATTGCGAGAAACGCCAATGTAGTTCATCTCTGTTGTGGAAGGAAATGAATGCAGGAGGCTAAGGACTAGCCAGTGCCTCAGAAGAAGCAGGCCCGGACTAACTTTAGTGTTCTTCACTCCTGATTCTTCCTTCTTTCTACAGAAGGATGGAGTGCAGCGCCTACAAGGTGCATTGGGATTTTTATAGGAGTAGCTGTCATTCTGAAATATGGTGCTTTTTGTGTATCATTCCCAGAGAATAGTTGGCTTAACTGTCCTTTGAGTTCAATAGGAGAATAGTCTCAGTCAGTCAAAGAATATTAAAAGGTGAGAAGTTGAAGGTTTTAAATAAGATAGGGCTAGTCAGCAGTGTAGTGGGCAGCATTAGGGTAGTTGGATAGGATAAGTGCATAGGTACTTTGCATGATTAGAAGGAACAAAGGCAGTCTTGTCCCCAAATTACTGCTTCCCTTTTTATCCGGTTGCTTGCAGTTTTCACTTTTGAAATTTATTTCATTAAGTTTGCTATTAAAATGGAAATATGTGCAGAGGGATATTCTTCTTATCAGGTTAACACTTTATTATTATTATTATTATTATTATTACCACCAATTATCTAGCCATTATTTTAGAAATCACAGGTTAGTACCTGCACTAAGAGTGCTTTTGAAAGGGGGAGGGAAGTGTATGGTACGTGTTCTTTTTCCTGAGACAAATGAAGGGGATGTTTGAGAACTGTCACATGTGGGATAGCCTTCTCTGTGGCCAGCGTTGGTAGCATTAGATTGCAGCTTAATGGCTTCCTGTCACTGAGAATATTGGTGATGGCTCTGTGGATAATTCTGCTTAGAACCTACTGGGTTTGATCAACCTCTAGCTCATTTTTCTTACTGTTTTGTCACATGTGGAATGCTCCTGCTTGAACATGTAAGATGGATTTCTGATCACCTAGGAAATTCTAGTTTTTAAAAATCAACAAGTTTTATATATTCAGTTCTTAAAAAAAAAATCAAAATCAAGCCCTATAGAATGGTGTCAGATCATATACCCTTTCTCATGCTCCACAGATAATAACCATTCAGTTTGTCCTACTAGAAATGGTCTGTGTATATCTAAGTTCAATGATACATATATAATACATTTAATAGTATTGTGTTACAAAATTCTGTGTGGTCCCCTTCCATTTTTTTCTTTACCATTTCCCCTTTTTTGGTGGTGCTGAGGTTTGAACTCAGGGTCTTACACTTGCCAGGCACGTGCTCTACCACTTGAGCCACTCCACCAGCCCTTCCTTTTCCTTTTATGTGGTGCTGGGGGTGGAACCCAGGACCTTGTGTTGCTAGGCAAGTGCTCTACCACTTAGCTACATCCCCAGCCCTAGTTTTAAGTGCTTAGACGTGTGTGTGTGTGTGTGTGTGTGTGTGTGTATGTGTGTGTGTATGTATGTGTGTGTATGTGTATGTATGTAAGTGCATAGTACATGCATTTAAAATTAAAAGCATACTAAGCACACAGCTTTGCAACTTAAACTTCTTAATGTATGTTACAAATACTTCTCTATCAGCTGACAGCTTCTCCGTTCTTAATGGTTGTGGCATACATTTATTTAGTCCCCATTAAGGGGCATTTAAATTGTTTTCATACATTTGCTCTTCAAGCAGTGAAGTGTTAGTGTCCTTTCTTGTACATCCTGTGTCCTGTATTAGCCAAGGGACACATATTTACAAGGAAAACTGTGTATCAGGTGTATGCATATTTGAATATGTATTGCCAAATTATCTTCCAAAAGGTGGCACCAATTTATATTTTCACCACTAGTGTTAGAGAGTACATTTACTTCTCACCAACACAGATATTCTCCATGTTTTTAAATCTTTGTTACTTTTTAGGTGAATAATGGTGTCTAGTTGTTTGGATTTGCATTTCTTTAATTATGAATGAGTTTTCAACTTTTTTTTTTTTTTTTGTGGTACTGGGGTTTGAACTCTGGGCTTCAAGCTTGCTAGGCAGGCGCTCTACCACTTTAGCCACACTCCATTCCAGTTTGGTTATTCTATTCTGGTTATTTTGGAGATGGGAATCTCCAGAACTATTTGCCTGGGCTTCCCTCGGACCATGATCCTCCTGACCTCAGCCTCCCACATACCTAGGATTATAGGCATGAGCCACAGGTGCCCTGCAAGCCTTGTTTTGAGATAGAGTCTCCTTATGTAGCCTGGACTGTTAAACTTGAGATTCTTCTACCTCAGCTTCCCAAGTGCTGTGATAGACATCCTCCACCATACCTGGTTGAGCTTGGTATTTTAAATAGCGAAATATTCATTCTTTGTTAGACATACAATTAAAATATTTTCTGGGTTTCTTTTATTTTGTTAAATAACTGATACTTTGATAAATTGTAAATATCTACAGAAAAGGGGACTTCGGTTCCTCTTCAGCAAACTTGTGCGTGTCCTCTGTATAAGATGTGAATTGCGTTGGTAGCTTTTGAATACAAAAATCAATGAGATTTGGTTACTGCCTGGGAAGAGAGAGAGAGACAGAAAGAAAAGAGAATATGAATTAAGCTTTGGTGACAGAATAGCGAAAGGTTCTAGTAAGGGAATGACTGGTTTAGTGGAACAGTTGAGAATACTTCTGACTGAGGACCTGAGGAATTGTTAAAGAACTGAAGATAGACATTATAATTCAGGTCGTCCATTAGAAACAGGTGGAAACAATTTGCAGCACCATTAAAGATGAGCTCAAAAATGGGGCAGTGGGAGAAAGCAGTGTTCGAAGCTGTGAATCTGGAAAGAAAAAGTTGTATTATAATTTATGGTTTGGAAAATGTAGAGTAGCTGAGCATGTGAGCACATTGTTTATTCTGTATGTCTTGGTATTTTCCTGAAAGCCCTCATTCTGTTTATTTGTATAGGTATCCTAACTGGAACACTGATCACCTAGAACGCATCTTGTGGCATGGTAGAACTATTTATTTATTGAGCATCTACTAGTGCCAGACATGAAACTAGAGCCTGGAAATAAATGCTAAAACAAAGACTACTTCTGTGTTTCCCATTACGGAAGTTGTGTTTGGTGGGGAAATCTTTAATGGTAGTCTCTTGAGTAGGCTTAAGGATACAGTCTAGATTAAACACAAGCTAAATTCTTACTGGGGGAACATAAGAGTCTGTGCTTTGGATAACTTTGGATGCTGCTGTTTTGAAGGCCAAAAATTGTCTTTTTTTTTTTTTGTTGTTGTTGTATTGGGGTTTGAACCTTGAGCTACTCCACCAAACCCTTTTTTGTGAAGGGTTTTTTGAGATAAGGTCTCTGGACCTATTTGTCTGTGCTGGCTTTGAATCTCCATCCTCCTGATCTCTGCCTCCTAAGTAGCTAGGATTACAGGCATGAGCCACCCACCTGGCTCTTTTAAGGATTTTTTGACAGTTAATTTTAACTCAGTTTATTTTTGTATTAGTAGGACTCTAATCCTTAAGACAAATACAGTCTTCGAAAAATTTTTTTCTGATTTGATAATTGTCTCTTGAAAAGAACAACTGCTGCAGTAAGAGCACCTATCTAGCAAGTGTGAGGTATTGAGTTCAAACCAACAACAAAAACCTGCCATGTAGAGGTAATTTCTATTACTTTATCTTTACATCAAACACATTCTCTGTTATTTTGTGATAAAACTTCTGAAAGCTTTTCAAAACAGCTTGGTAAGAAAATGAATAGGATTTCATTTGGGTATTTCGTAATCTAATTTTGTTTTTTTGCATTTCTTTATAATGGTTCTTTAGAATACAAAACATCAGTAAATCTGAGGTAAATTTACTAGGAATTAGCCTGAAGGCCAGCAGTTACTCAGCAGCATTATAGTCACCTGTGCAGAGGGAAGAACTTAAAGACAGAAGTTTTAGGATTCATAGCAGCCAGTTTAGAAAAGGATTATTTGTTGAATGTGACATATCTAGTCATGAAAAGGTTGTGGACATAAAGAGAAGGTCAAGGAGTAAGAAAAATTGAATAGACAGAAGTGAAAGAGATTTGAGTAATCAGATGAGCAAGAATTCTCTGGCAGTTAAAAAAAAAACAACCTTAAATGTTTAATTGTACCTTTTAGGGTAACGACAAACTATTCATAGAACCTGTAAGCCCTCTGAGTGATTTGCCCACCTTGCTTAGTCTTACCTCACAGGTAACTCTCTGGATCATGTAACTTGTAAGTGGCACCCCATTTTTACATTGTTACTTCCTTGGTCTGGTATCATCACCTCTTTTACTTTTCTTTATTCAGTTTCAGCTCAGGTATCACTTTGTCATCCCCCAAGTCATTCTTAGTTTTTAAAATTTTACGTCTCCTTGTTCTCTTACTTCATAATACTTATTACAGTTAGTAATTTTTTAGTGCTTGTTTGATTAATCCCCTGTAGAAATCAACAGTGGTATTTTGCTCCCTTTTGCAATCTTAGAGTTTGCCAGGTGCTTGGCACATAGCAAGCACTGAATAGACATTTATTGAATGAATCAATGAACTACATGTTTTGAGTTTTACTGCTTGGTGTCAAGGATCTGAGCACTATAGCAGATGATGTCTGTACATGTGAAGAAAGAGCAGACCAAGGAGTATGGGAGCCTTGATGAAAAAGAAAAAGTGAGGCTTTTTAAAGACAGAGAAAATTGGAAAACTCATGTATTTACTGTATATAGTAGAAAGAGAAATTATTAATGCATATGAATGCCTACTACATATTGGAAGGTAAATATTGAGAGTGTGAAATAGAAAGATTGTGCCTTCTGTATTAAAGATGTACTACTAAAAAAGTAGTTTATTGAAATTGATTGGTCCTTTGGAGCAGTTTCTTATTAATATTTTGAGATAAGGCCTTGTTATGTAGCCCAGGTTGGTCTTGAACTCAAGATCCTCCTCCCTAAATTTCTGGAGGACTGGGATTACAGGTATGTACCACCATGGCAGATTGGAGCAGTTTTAAATTATGGAGGGAAATAAACTTGGATATTCTTCATTACTCCTAGCCAGCAGAGTGACAGTCAGTCAACTGGAATGAAGATCCAGCATTTGTAGTAGCTCTCAGGTACACATTTAAAATAGCTTCTAACTTCACTTTCCTTTAAAAAGGGACAGAAAAGTGAAGAAAGTAACTTTTGGATACTTTTTAGCATTCAACTTGAAGTTTGGATGGTAGAACAAGAATGATTGAGGGAAAGTTTATTGTATGGACAGGTTTTCATAAGAATGAATATTATAACTGTAGTTAGAAAATTAGAGAGATGTTGATCTTGTCAGGTGAATGAGTTCTTTTTAAGCATATAAGAATAAAGGATTTGTTTCAGTGTAGTTTTGCAATCTTTCTCAGTGACTAGTCTTCCTCCCTTCCTCCCTCCCTCCTTCCTGCCTTTGCTTGTTAGGCAGGTGCTCTTACCACTTGAGCACACCTTCAGTCTTGCAGTTTATTTTGTAAGAGAGGTATTCATGTAAATACATGTTTCTCTTAAAAAAGTAATCTACTATTTAGTAATAGTAACGATGGCCACTATTAATCAGTTACCTGCTATAGGCCAACCACTGGATATGTATTCACTACTGGTTATTTTAATATTCTTAGCAAGCATACAAGGTAGTTGGTATTATCCCTGTTTTATAACTTAGGGAAAAATAAAGATGCAGAGAATTAAATTTGCTTTGGTTTAGTCATAGTAGGTTGCATATGTTGCCTCCAGGTAATAACAAAGCCCAGTGAACAGTTAATTGTCCACAAGTGAAATTGCCAGCAAGTTAAACATTTAGAGAGAAGAGAGGCAGACTCCTGTAACCCATTAATAGAAGGATTAGATAAAAGTTCAGCATGTTGGGATTAATGCCTTGTTCTACTGATTCATTAGTCTTTTGGGTGATAAACAAAAATGTAATACCTTCCTGTGTTTGAAGGGTTCTTTTCTTGAGGAGTCTTGGGTGGGAAGTGAGATCTTCCATTATGAAAACCATTTGCTCACTTTCCCTTTGCTTTTGCCCTTAAGATGCAGTCATGTGACCTGGGGGTCTCCTCTCTTGCCTATGCCTGATTACCTCAGAAATGAGTGATTTTTCAGAATCAAGCACATTGTGTAGGCACTGTGTTTCATGGTACTGGGGGTGGAAGCTGTGTATGTTTTCCAGAGGTAGCAGCAACAGAGTCCAGTTACAGCATTTACTTTCTGGTCTCTGTGATGTCAGTACAAGTTGCAGTGACTGAATTTTTTATTGTCTTCACTGCACCGGATCTGTGGTTTGATTTTTGGGTATTCGTGACTAGTACCTGTGCCCTCATGGGATTTTTCTGTGACTTTCCTAATATACTTTAATAACTTCCTTTTCAGCCTAAACAAAGCCAGAGTTAGTTTCTTGTGTTTGCAGTGAGAACTTTACTTAGATGATGCTAATTAAGATAATAGACAATTCTAAGGAATTCTCCAGGGTCAGGCTTACCTGCATCTAGATTAGGATTTATTAATGAGAGGAGTCCAGAGTGTATGTTAACTGAAATACTTATAAAACAGTTTGTTTATTGGTTTAATTAATTTACTGAATTTAAGTGTGTGTTCTAGGTGGGAATACAGAAGTGACTTGATATAGACCTTTGTACTCAAAGAGCTTACATTCTATTGTAAGATATAGAATAAATAAGAAAGCAAAAAAATACAGTTACAAAAGTGATAAATGTCATGAAAAAAATGAGGTGATGTTATAGAGTGTGTGTGTTACATCTTGTAAAACATTTCATTTAAATTTAAGTGTCAAGGAGTTATGACTTCTTTCTGCCTTTGACTGTTAGTTAGTATTCTGAATTTGCCCTCCCACCATAAACATCTAGAGCATTGGACAAAAGACTTTTCACATACTGCGTAATAGGTAGCACAGGACTGTGACCCCTAACAGATGGAAAATGAATGAAGTAAGCCCTATGATAGCCTAGTGTTCTGTTTGAAGGCACTTTTCAGACCTCATTGGTAGGGCAGGCCATCCCAAATTGATCTGGGTGACTTCACTGAGTTGGGGAAACAAAGACTGGAGTTGCAAAAGACCCTGGGGCTCTACTTTGAGCAGAGTTCTGGAGAAAAGGGAGCTATGTAGAGAAAGAGTTCCATACATCTACTTAGTGGTTCTCTTAGTTGAGTGAATACCTGTCTGTACCTATCTATAGGGTACAGTTTTATAAAAGGACTTTCTGTGGAAGCTGTAAGCAGAACAGTTCTCAGTGCCTACACAGTGCTGAGAATTCTTTAAGTACCTTACAGCTAGAGTGGAAAGATCTCATTAAATGCAGGGTCTGTTGAAATCCAGAAGGGCTAAACTGGTCCTGAAGTAAAGGCTACTTTAGATATGTCTGAAAAAAAAGCTTAAAATTAAACTTCAAAAGGAGTAAACTCATCTGAGAATAATGTAATTGTCTTTCATTGCAGTGTCCAACAGTCTTTAGGAAACATAACATATACCAACCCCAAATCCTTGTAAAATGTTCACCATCCAATTAAAAATTACTAAATATGTAAAGAAGCAGGTTAATGTGACTTGGTAAGAAATCAATCAATTGAACCAAATCTAGAACTAACACAGATGTTAAAATTAACAGACATTACAAATATGAAGGCAGACATGGGAGATACTAAAAAAAAGTAAGGCCTAGATCAAAGCAAAGAAAACTACATGACATGATATGTACACTGGATGGCATCAGTTGAAGATTAGACATTATAAAAAAAGATTTGTAAACTTGAACACAGAGAAGAGAAAACTCAGTCGTAGAAGCAGGTAAGACAGATACAAAACAGCAGATAGGGTTCTTAAAATGGCCATTCTAAAAATGCAAGGTTAGGGTGTGGTTTAATGTTGACATCTTAGTACGTGAGTTTTGCTTAATAATTGTGACTACATTCTGAAGTCGATTTGATGTGTAGTTAGAGTGTTAAAAATAAGTATTCTAGCAAAGCAGCAGGGTATTTTCCTTTCACTAAGGTTACCACAAAGTTAGTGGCTTAAAACCCATGTACCATGTCACAAATTTCTGTGGGTCAGATGTGTGGGCAAATCTTAGCTTCCTCTGCTTTAGGGTCTTAGAAACCTGAAATCATGTTTGATTGAGGCTGTTGTCCCATCTGAGGCTTGAGTGTGAAAGTTCTCTTCTGAGCTCTTGTGATTGCTGGCAGTATTTTGTTGTTTGTACATTGTCAGACTGAGAGCCTCAGTTTCTTGCTGCCAGATACCATAAGTTCCTTGCTATGTGGGTCCTTTCCAACTTGGTCACTTAACTTTTTCAAAGCCAGTGAAGGAGCGTCACCTCAAAGTACAGGTGTCTCATAACTTTTACCTTTGCCACATTCTGTTGGTTAAAGGCAAGTCACAGTTCCTGCTCACACTCAAGGGAAAGGAGCCACAGAAAGTGGGAGTTACCTTATAGTCTGTCACAAACACTATTGTGTAGTGGTAAAAAGTGCATTCTCTGGAGCTTGATCTTCATGTATGGCTTTGAATCCTAACCCTGCCTATTTGGAGATATATAAATGTCTCTAAGTCTCAGTTTCCCGATCTGTGTAATAAAGATACTGTCTTCCTACTGCTTATAGTTGTGAAGAATAAGTGAACATAACATGAAGTGTTTTGGACTTTATAACTCCACCTTACTGTTAGGTCTCAACTTAGGTATCGTATGTTCAGCGAAGCCTTTCCTGACTTCTCACTGATGGTGATTCTTCTCCCCCTTCATAAGTTAAGTTTCAAAGCACCCTGAACTTACATTTCTCATCATTTTTTACTCTTTCCACCTGAATTTTATAGCGACTAGGTTAATTTATTTTAGGATTATGTGTTTGGTTTGCTGCTATTTGTTCAGTGTCTAGTGTAGTGGCATATAAAGACTCCTTTCGTGCTTGCTAATTGATTAGATGAGTGATGTTAATGAATGCATTATTTCTTTTAGAAAGTATTTTTAGTGTTCCTGTGCCAGTACTTGAGATGTCGATCTGAGAGATAGTTCCTCTGGATCTAAGATAGTCAGGCTCTGGCAGGGGGATCTAGGCAAATAATAGTCTTTTAACTATGATTATAAAGGTTTGCAAGAGTGGATGCTAAGTAGTAGTAAAAAAATAAAGAGGCTAAAGGGATAAAGAGTCAGTAATAAAAATTAGTCATTGTGAAGTAGAAGCAGGATACACATTAGGGAGATTCCGCAGAATGTGTTCTTCAAAGCACTTGACCTTGAGATGGTATGAAGGAAATAAGCTTGGAGAAAATTACCTTCTTGGGGGGGTCACAAGTCACATTAACATATTATAGGAAACTCTTTCCCTACCTGTTAGCTTACATAGGACAGATTTTTGTTGTTTTGTTTTGGGGCGTAACTAGGGTTTGAACTCTGCTTGCTAGTCAGGTGCTCTACCACTTAAGCCATACCCCCACTCTTTTTTGCTTTATTTTTCAGATAGGACTGTGCATTTTTGCCCAGGTTCACCTAGACCTCAGTCCTCATGTTTCCTGCAGAGCTGGGATGACAGGTGTGTATCATCATGCTTGGCTTGTTTGTGGAGATGGGGTCTTGCTAACTTTTTGCCTGGCCTTGAACCATGATCCCCTGACCTCTACCTTCTGAGTAGCTTAAATCACAGGAGCGAGCTACTGCCGCACCTGGCCTGGGCCAGTCTTTATTAAATTTCTCCTAACACTAATAAACATACACATACCACAACCTAATTAGGTATTGTTTTCCTTTAAACTATGATGAAACTGATGTTAGAGGTGAAGTAATTTCCCTTAGAATACAAAGTAGCTAGTAAGGTAGAGTTCGAATTAGGCCTCATCCCTCACTCTTAATTTTTATTCTGCGTTGCTTCTGGAGAGCATGTTTTAGAAAATACTAGATTAGTTTCATGAGAGCAGGGACCGTGGACATTGTGTGCACTGTCTCTAGGACTAGACTCTTGCTTAGCCTTGTATTATTTTATTCTGTTATTTGAGCTTTCCAATTGGAATTAGTTGAGAAACTGAAGTTTTGGTGCATAGTAGTTAATATGATGCAGTCAGCATAATGCACAACAAAACATAGTTTTGTGTTTTTGCTTTCATTGGGTAGGGCTTTGTCTACCTCTACTCCTTATACCTCTTCCTCTTCTACCACTTTCAAGTCTGCTACCAGATTATGAGTTGTTTCTGAAATAGCTTTTAGTTAAGTTCTTTCTTTGTATTATTAACTACCTCTCTACAGACCAGACCTTTTGTCCTTTTTGCTTACTGCTGTAATTTTTTAAGAATAAAATTTTGTTTGTAATAAGCATGTAATTAAAATAGCATACTAAGTGAAAAGGCTTAAAATAAAACATAACAGTCGTAAGCACATTTCTCTGCTTCTCATTCCTACTCCACAGTGCAGTAAGGCCTTGTTGGGCAGAATTGAGCAGGCTGTTTTGTGTCCTGAAGTCTTCAGGGGATCTTGGGATGACTGAAACATTTGTGGCACTGTGTGCCACACACACTAGTTGACAAGCTCTGCCCCACAGGTAGTCACTTTCATATCAACTCTTAGCTGCTGCTTTGATTTACCTATTTAAAAAAAATTCTTGGTGTGTGTTAATTGTACAGAGGAGTTTCATTATGTTATTTCCGTATATGTATATAATATATGTTGATCACATTTACCTCTTCTATTACTGTTTCATCCAACTCTCCCTTTACAACAATTTTTAACAGGTTTCATTCTGTTTTTACACGTGTATAAAGTACTTTGATTATATTCACCTTCCCTTTCCCCTACTTTTGCCCTCCCCCTCCTGCTGGTTTCTACCCTCCAACAGTCCCTGTTTTGTACTCTTGTCATTTATTTTTTTAAGCTTCTGCATATGGGAGAAAAAATGCAGTATTTGTCTTTTGTCAGTTGAGCTTATTTTGCTTAACATGATCTCCAGTTCCATCAGTTTTCCTGATACCACCACAATTCTATTCGTGATTGATTATTACTCCATTGGGTATATATAACATTGGTTACCTGTTTATTACCAGATATTATGCTTCTTGAGTCAGGATGTTTTTGGATGCAAGTTCTGAGACCTTGATAAAACTGGCTTCAGGTAAAGGAATTTAACTCACAATTGGAAGTTGCTGAGGTGGGACAGAGTCAAGAGCTAAGTGATTTGGCCACAAATCACTTAAAACCTGGTCTCAGGTTTTTCCTGAGAAAAAGGAAAAAAAGGGGATCCCTTTAGTCATTGGCAGGTTTCAATCTTAAATTAATAAAATGACTGCAGGAGTGTCAAGAGTTAGACCCAGAAACACAAAAGTGTCTTTAGGGGTCTCCCTGCCTAGTGAAGAATGGAAACTGCCTAGAAACTCTTTGGAAGACTTACGGGTTAAATAGCCATTTTTGAAAGACCCATCAGGAAGGGAGATCAGATTACACTTCGGCCAGTTAGGCCTATTCCTGGACCTGGACATGGTTTCCTTAAGCACATCCCTAAATGGGAGTGGTGTGCAAATGGGTTCAGAACAAAATTAGCTTCTGTTACAAAGGAAGAAGGATGGTTTGAAGGCTGTGTAGGTTATTCTCATCCTAGTTTTGTGTCTGATTTAAAATGTAATATATTATCTACTGTCTTTCTATTAAAGCATATGAACATTAAACGTTAGACCTCCTTCCTTAGACTTTTCTTCTTCCATTTACCATTTACAGTTACATAGCTTTTTAAAAATCAGTTGCCAGTGTTTAACTATGACTGTGTAAATCTTCTTTATTATACTACATTGTTTACTACATTTTTTTCTTTGTGTAATTTTGTTTTCCCTAGAATTAACACTTGTCTTGTATTTCCATTTGTTTTGTTTTCTAGGTACCTGTGACTTAAGTTTTCTCCTACTTTCATTAGCCTCTCAATAAGGTTTTCTGTACAGTCAAACATATTAGATAATTAGTTATTTTTGCATTTCTCCTGTTTTTATTCTCAGTTTCCTGATTCTCTGGCTTTTTTTTTTTCTTTCTCCTATTTTGTCTTTCATGTTGCCAGAGGACATCTTTCAGTACTCCCTGAGAAAGGGTACATCAGGGAGGCATTTATTTATGTATGTATTTTTGTGATACTGGGGGTTTAATTCAGGGCCTTGTGCTTGCGAGGCAGGCACACCACCAGTTTGTTACTTTTGTGCTAAGTCTTTATGACCCCACGATCCTCTGATTTGCGCTTCTCTGCAGAGCTAGGATGACAGGCATACACCACACTCCCAAACATTGTGTGAGGTTGGGGGGCGTCTCATGAACTTTTTGCTCCTGCTGACGCTGAATCTTGATCCTCTTGATCTCTGATCTCTGCCTCCGTAGTATCTAGGATTATAGGCTTGCGCCACTGTTCTGGAGCATGATGCTTTCACTTCTGATTCAAGTCTTTCAGTTGGTAACATTTGCAGTCTGAGTATGTTTTATTGCAGTACTGACTGCATCATAATCTCACTTGATATAGTAGATACAATTTTTATTCTGTTTTCATTAAAACAAAATGATGGAAAAGTTTAGAGAATATAGTGAACTCCCATGTACCTATCACTCAACTTCAAAATTTATCAACTCATGATCATTTTAAAAATATTCCTAGCCAGGCATGATGGTATAAGCTTGTAATCCCAGCACTTGGAAGGCTAAGGCAGGAGTATCCCATGTTCTAGGGCATCCTGGCCACACAAATAGTAAGACCATGTCTCAACAAGATCAAATAAAACAAGAGTCAGTATTCCTGTCTGCCCCCTTTTCTTTGAATTTTTCAGAGAGAACTCAGGCATAATTTCAAGCTTGAATGTTGTAATATATATCTCTAAAAGAGCAAGGACTAAAAACTATAATCCCCAAACCTTATCATACCTTCAAAAGACTATTATGTCTGTAACAGTTCAACTATCCAGTAAGAATTCATACTGCCTTGATTGCCTTATAATTATATCTTAACAATAGTTTATTCAAATCAGGATCTAAGTCAGGTACATAAATTATCTTTGGTTTACACATCTTTAAGTTTCTTTTAATCTATTGGTTACTCCTCTGTTTTGTTTTTTTCCCTTGGAATTTCTTTGTTGAAGGAAATGTCACCTGTCTTGTAGCTTCCCATAGCCTGGATGTTTTTGAATGAATCCCATTGTGTTTCCTATCTCTTTTATTTCCCCTCACCTGATAGTAAGATCCAGAGGCTTGAATTTATTAGTTTTAATGTGTCCCCCCTTACTCCTTCTCAGGAAGTTGTAAAGATCTGTTCTCTATCTTTGGTGTGCATTTTTGTAGCAGTCTGTTTTGGCATGGGTATTTTTACTGTAGTGAACCCATTCTTTCACTTTGAAGGAGTGCAGTTTTTTTATTTGATTAAATTTTTTTTTATTATTGCTGTACTGGGGGTGTGTTGTGACATATACCAAAGTTCTTACAACATATCATAGTTGAACTCACCTCCTCTGTCATTCGCCTTTACTCGCCCCCCCCCCCCCCCCGTTCCTGCAGTAGTTTCAACAGGTCTCATTTTTCCATTTTCATACATGAGTATGTAATATTTCTACTAAAGGAGGAGCATATTTTTTGCCCTGGGAACTTTTCTTATATAATTTCCTTGAAAATTTCTTCTTTTGGGGTTTTTCAGATGAAATGTATTTTTGTTATTTTGTCTATTTTCTATTTGCTTATTTTTTATGCCATGGGAGATACTTCAAATTTTTTGATCAGAGTTTTTTTTTCCCTCCACTAGTATGTTTTAACTTCGTGGCTACATACATTTTATGTCTTTGAGCACGTTTATATTATAGTTGAAGACCTTTTTTCCCCTTTGTGGCATTGATTCATTTTGCTTTGGATTTCTGTTTTTCTGCTTGTTTTTGTTTCTTTTTTTTTCTTTCCTTCCGTTCTTGTTTTTGAGAGGCTGGCTTTGAACTCTTGTGTTGAAGAGCTTCTTGAGGAGCTAGGATTATAGGCACACAGCACAATGGGCAGTGCTTGGTTTTTGCCTTTCTATTGGCAGCTTTCCTCAAATATTTGGATATCCTTTGGCCAGTGGCTTGTATTTAGGAGTGGGGTATGATGAAGCATATGGCTGCTTTTTGGAGGGTGAGCAGTTTTCTCTGAAGGCTTAGGGTAGGTAAGGACCCATGTATATGGGTTTCCCTGGGGTTTTACTGCATGGATTTTAGTGTTGCAGATTGAGATTGTAAATCCCATACTTGTGGGAGAGAGAAGTATATTGTCTTCTGATGTTCTGTCAGAACTGTGGTTTGAAGATAGGAGTGTTCAGTTCTCTTTAGACTATTAGTTCTCTTTCTAGTTTTAAGCTGCAAACCTATTTTCTCTTGTGCTTGGTATTGCTTAAGTACAAACAGAATCTCTTCATTTACTTTTCCACGAGAGAATATTCTTCCAGTGTTATATGGCAAGATATTTGCCAGCCTCTATAGAGTTTGGGCTGTAACTTGGGGTCTTACTACTATTTTTTTAATTGAAATTAATTAAAAGCTTCCAGATGTAGTACAGATAACTCTTGTTTTC